ATATGTACGTCAAAGTTGGATAATTCGATAGGTGTCATTGTTATTAATTTACCTAATATTTTTAAAAACATTATAAATACAAATAGGATAAATTACACATTATATATGAAATTTTTCTATATAAATGAAACTTTCTATAAATATATATAATTTTAATAATTTTAAAGATAGTAGCTAAAAAAATAAACCAAAATATTAATACAGATTCGCGCGTAGCGCGAGTTATATACCTAGTATAATATATAAAAGTTGATGGCATAGTGCATTGAGGGCGTCCACATGAAATTAAAAAACTCGATCTGATTGGTCCACATCAGCATATTCATTAAATAAAAAAATGTTAAGTATGATTAGGACGGAAAAACTTGATTTAATTGGTCAATATCAGCTTTTAGATTAAACCAAAAATTATTAAATATAATTAAACATTAAAAGTTAATTTAACAATTTATGTCCAATAAAAAAAGTAAATTCAATCTGATTGATCTAAATCAACATATTTATTAAATCAAAAATGTTAATATGGTTTAAAATTTTAAAAGTTAAATAAGAAAATTAATAATTAACAATATATGTATAAAAAAAGTAACAATTATCAATTATCAATTTAAAAAAATCTACAACAACTCAATTTAACAATTAAAAAAATGAAAACTGAATAAAAATATGATATAAAACTCTTGGAAGACATGATGGAGAAAGAAAAAAATAGTTTTGCATGATCATTATATCTTTCTAACAAAATTAAATGTAAATCAACATGAATCATGGATTATATAAGACTTTCAATAAAAAAACTAAATATTTGAATACATAAACCTTCAAGAAAAAAAGAACTATAAAAATTCTATGGAAAACAGAAAATAATACTAAAATCTTTGCCAGATTATATTTCTTTAAATCAAATATATATATACGTCAAAGTTGGATAATTCAATAGGTGTCATTGTTATTATTTTACTTAATAGTTTTTTACAATTTATAAATAAAAATAGGATAAATTACACAGTATATATTAAATTCTCTTATATTTTTCTACGCGCGAGTTATATATCTAGTACTCTAACAAATATTAATGTTTATTTGAGTATAAAAAATGAAAAAAAAAAAGTTTTGTATTTTTATTTCCATAATTCCATTGGTTAAACAATTCCACAAAAACCTGTAAATTATCCATGGCCACTGTGGTATCGGGTTTTGAAGCCCAGTGTGTTCTAAGAAAATAAATTCTGGCCTAACATAAAAAAGATTTTAAAATGCGTCTGCCGGGAATCGAACCCGGGTCTATTGCTTGGAAGGCAATTATCCTAACCGTTGGACAACAGACGCTGGCTGACCTTTAAGCATTGCTTTTATAATTGGCGACGATGACAGATATCCCTAAACGTCATCGTTTGCATTCTTTACACTCGTCCAAATTCACCTGAATCCCGGTTTCAGGAACTTAACCTATACGAATTTGGGAAATTTCCTTTCTATTGTTTTTTTTGCGGGAATATTATTTAATCCATAATATGTTGCCTTAATATAATTTTTTTTTTGTCAAACATCAAAAATAAAATAAAAACAAGCACAGCCAGACATTTACGATTCATAAAATATTCAAACTAAAAGAGGGAAATATTCAAATTTAAGGTCAAACGTACACAAAACACACCATAAGTCAACAAGATCCATAGTTCATCAATACAAGCATTAAAAAAAACCTGCAACTAGTAGTTGAGGTGCACTTACTTACTCTCAGTACTCTTCTTCCTGTTGGTATTCTCCTTCTTCCTCGTCCTCGTACTCGCCTTCTTCATCTGCAGTCGCATCTTGGTATTGCTGGTACTCTGAGACAAGGTCGTTCATGTTGCTCTCCGCCTCTGTGAACTCCATCTCGTCCATTCCTTCACCCGTGTACCAATGCAAGAAAGCCTTCCTCCGGAACATAGCCGTGAACTGCTCGCTAACACGCCTGAACATCTCTTGGATCGACGTTGAGTTGCCAATGAAAGTGGAAGCCATCTTCAGACCCGTTGGTGGGATGTCACAGACCGTTGATTTCACGTTGTTGGGGATCCACTCAACGAAGTAGGACGAGTTCTTGTTCTGCACGTTCAGCATCTGCTCGTCGACTTCCTTCGTGCTCATCTTGCCACGGAACATCGCTGAGGCTGTGAGGTAGCGCCCGTGTCTTGGGTCAGCAGCACACATCATGTTCTTGGAGTCCCACATTTGCTGAGTGAGTTCAGGGACCGTGAGGGATCGGTACTGCTGAGATCCTCTTGAGGTGAGAGGAGCAAATCCAACCATGAAGAAGTGAAGACGAGGGAAAGGAATCAGATTCACAGCAAGCTTACGGAGGTCGGAGTTTAGCTGACCAGGGAATCTCAGACAGCATGTGACACCAGACATTGTAGCAGATATCAAATGGTTCAAGTCACCAACTGCATAAGAGAACGAACAAATATGTGTGAGTTAACTCCTTAGCCATTAACACATACACATCAATCAAAAATGCACAATAATAGAGCTTAAACAAATCACCAAGGCAGTCGATATATTATATAGCCACTGGGTTTTGAATATCCCCTATGTTACAAGATGTAGCTTGAGGATTTATTCTGGTGATGAGATCAATACAGACAACCAGAGAGTAATATACTGGGCCAATAACTCAAAAGCCAGAAGGTGAACAGACCACTGAATACAGTAATAAGACTAGCTACACGAAACAGTGAGCAACATCAAATTGCGACACAAAACAATGAGCCAAATCAAGTTCACCAGCATCTAGACAAAGCATATCGACTACAGATCAAAAGGCGTCTCACAGAGAAAGAAGAGAAATCAACATATAGGAACAGCAACTATGCGAGGACTTACAGCTTGGGGTTGTGAGTTTCAGAGTCCTGAAGCAAATGTCGTACAGAGCCTCGTTGTCAAGAACCATGCACTCATCTGCATTCTCAACAAGCTGATGAACAGACAAAGTAGCGTTGTAAGGCTCAACGACAGTGTCAGAGACCTTCGGTGAAGGGAACACCGAGAACGTAAGCATCATTCGATCAGGGTACTCCTCACGGATCTTGGAAATCAAGAGTGTTCCCATGCCAGATCCAGTTCCTCCTCCCAATGAATGGCAAACCTGAAACCCTGCAGAGCAAAATCCTCACAGTTTCAAACTCCGGTACAGTGGATAATAGTTTAACGAAAGCATAATCGGCCTCAAAACCTTGAACAGATCTAAGAGTATTTACCTTGGAGGCAGTCGCAGTTCTCCGCTTCCTTACGAACAACGTCGAGGACGGAATCGATTAGCTCGGCTCCTTCAGTGTAATGGCCCTTCGCCCAGTTGTTACCGGCACCGGATTGGCCGAAAACGAAGTTATCGGGACGGAAAGTCTGGCCGTACGGGCCAGATCTGAGGCTGTCCATGGTTCCAGGCTCCAAATCCATGAGAACAGCGCGAGGGACGAATCGACCACAGCTAGCTTCATTGTAGTACACGTTGATGCGCTCGAGCTGCAGATCTGAGTCTCCAGTGTAACGACCGGTTGGATCTATGCCGTGCTCGGCGCAGACCACTTCCCAGAACTTGGCACCAATCTGGTTACCGCACTGGCCAGCTTGGATGTGAAGGATCTCACGCATTTTCGGTAGATGAAGTGGGACGGAGACGACGCTGGGGATTTCGCCGGATCCGGGATCGAAATCTAGGGTTTTTCTGAAGTGAATCAAATGAGCAAGAGAGAGTGAAGAGGATGGGTATTTATTTTCTTTTTAATATTGTTTGTTTCTGTGTGGAATTTTCCCCTTTATTATTTCCCTAAATATCTCTGAGGCGCCGATCTGTTTTTATTCGAAATTTGAAAATGGCCCGTTTCTTTGTTTAGTGTAACGGTTACAACTGTATGTTGTGTAATCCCCAATTTCAAAAATTTAATTTATTTATTTCGATTTTCTTTTATTTCTTCTTATACTTTCATATATTTTTTAAACAACTTCGGCCAATACATTAAAGGTGAAAGATAGAATAATGGAGGAGCACATGTTTTATCATTGTTAACAAAGGAATGTAATGTGTTATAGGACAGACGAATTTCTCTTTACCCATAAATCATTCTACGCGGAATTGGTAAGAACAACAAAAACCATCAGAAACTTAAATATCACAAAAGTTTTAGAGCAGCACAATTATTATAATCTTGGCTGATGTTAACAAAACTTATAAATTTTTTTGCCATGCTCAGAAAGCTACAGTAGTAAATATCTTGAAGAATCTATTATATATAATTTGCTATGGTCAACTCTTTCCAGTTGAATGACACGTTAGCATTGGAGAAGTGACTCTTGTCATATTAATTTTTATAATTAATAATTTATTACTTTAATATAAACTGAGTTAAATTAAATAATTATTTACCTTGTAATTGTGTGCTAATTAAAATTATATTTGCTCTGATTTATATATATCTAATGAATGTATATTTCAGTTTATTGTCAATGTAATGGAAACTTTACAAAAACGGTCGGAATAAAGATGAGATAGATTGTGAATTGAGATGTAGATATGTGCTTGAACAAGTAGCAACTAGAAAAGTTTAAGTAGTATGCGCCATGGACCAGAAAGTCCAGAACGATCTGATATACTTATATTATGCTTGAAGGGTCTCTTAATTACTTTTTGTTATATACTTTTCTAAATTGCAATATATCCGTTTAATTTATGATACATATATAAGGTATAACACATTTCACATTCATTGGTTAGTAAATTGTGCTATACTGAAAAGATTAAATATACCATAAAATAAATTCTAATTAAAGTTATTATCAAATTGTATTGTAAAGCAAAAATCTGCAGATACTCATCTAGTGTTAGTTAATTATCACAATGTTTACAAGATCTTGAACCATGCATAAATAATAATAAAATATAATATTGTGTAATTGTATTTTATTGGTAAATATTTTATTTTCTAAACATAATTTTAGTGAAATAAAGTTGTAAATTCTTAGATACAACAACATACATGACCTTGAATTCCATAAGATTCACACAAAGCTGTTTTAAAAGGTGGTTTGTTCACTCCACAACTCTCCTTACAATCTTCTCTCTTTTGACATGGTCCTTTAAATTCACAAACAGTTGAATCATCCATAATTCCTGTTTATTATAATTACCATAAGTTTTTTAGTGAAAATTAAAGATAACCATAAATATAAGTAGATAAATAAGTATAATACAAAACATATGCAAATGTTATAATATGGAAAAAGAAAACTTACGATCGGATTGAACATTAACAATAAGAGAAATGACAATAAGAAAAATAGCAAAATGAAATTTGGAAGACGACATCTTTAGTGAATAGTTTCAACAGTATAAATTGTTATGAATAAATTTTGTAAAGCTACTGAGTGAATTAACTAAGAACTGATGGTTCTATTTATAGTTAATTTTTAGAAGAATGTTTTAAGATGTTATAATACCATTTTAGTAAATTGAAAGAACGTTTAAAATACCATACAAAACTTTTTGATTTAAGATTTGTTGCCCTTAACTACATGTATACATGTATATCCAACATTTGCATTCTTATCAATATAAATATTCATAAAATTAAATAGTGTTAATGTTGAAATCTTGTAAGCATGCTAGTATGCTAATATTTTCTGAAATTTTCTTATTTACTTCAAATGTATTTTTTACTTAACTGTCAAATTGATTGTTTACTTAATTGTCAGATATTTAGTTGTTATTAAATGGATTTTTACTTCATTGTCATATATTTTATCTGAATTTTTGCCATTGATCCCTCTTCTTCCGAATCAAGCTAGACTTAAATGTCAAAGATTTTTTGACTCATTAATCCTTCTCGCAGATCAGTTGAAATTTTGTATCAAGCTGAACTTACAGATCAAGCTGATAGTGTGGCTATAAATGCAACAATCACCCTCCTCATTTCTACACAGTCTGTCTAACAGATGATTTCATACTAAAATTTTCGGCAATCTTTTTATTCTCTAAAAAGTAAATCAAGGGATTATTGCATCTATAACATAAAAGATGGTCAACTCTCTCCAGTTGAGTGTCACATTAACTCTAAAGAAAGTGACATCTGTCATTTTAAATTTTATAATTAATAAATTATTATTATGATGTAATTAAAGTTAGACCAATTAATTGTTTACTTTTTAATTGTGTGCTAATTAAAAATATATTTGTTTTGGTTTTCATATGTTTGATAAATGTATATTTTAATTTATTATTAATGTAATGAAAACCTTACAAAAATAATCAGAATAAAAATAAAATAAATTGGGATTTGCAGCGTGATATGTGACCGAAAAGTAGTGACTAGAAATGTTTAATTAGTCCACGCCAAGAATAAATACTACCTGCTAAAAAGGATCGTCTCTACTTATATTGTGATTTGAAGAGTTTCTCTAATTACTTTTTTATTATATAGTACTTCTCTAATTTACAGTATATCTGTTTAAATTATTTTATATATACAAGGCATAACATATTTCACATTTCATGATCAATAAACCGTTTATTACATATTAGTCAATATCTACATAATATGTACATACATATTGCATGTTTATTCAAATACACAATATCCTTAAGTAAAATTTAAATATACAATAAAGTAAATTATAACTAAACTTTTTTAACAAACTATATTATAAAACAAAAATCCGCGCATCTTGCGGATACTCATCTAGTATATTTAATAGTTTGTAAATTTTATAGCTTTCATAACTACATTTTTTAGGCTCTATTTATTATATTTTTTATATTATATCATCCATTTTATAGTCCAAAGTATTCCATTTGCATTCATAATAGACTTAGAGTGCATTAGAATTAAGAATGCATATTCTCTTGCATTTGAAGTGTATTTCAGGTCTTTATGAAGCTAAGGATGATACTTGGAGAGTTGAAGATCAGTCTGGAGCAAGGAGGAACACTCAAAGGAGTTGGAGAAGTTTCATGAGTCTGTATTGGAGTAGCGTATCGAGCATCAAACCGACATTAGGGCGTGTTGAGCAGAGTATCAACACCAAGCCAATACCAGGATAGAGCTAAGAACTGATGTTCTGAAGGCTCCCAATATCTGGCAGTTGTGTCGACTAAGAGGCTGATACCAAGAAGATAAAGTTTATATTGAGGTTCAGTATCGACCATTTGCCCGACATCAACCTCCAAGCAGATTTGACTTTGGTCAACTTTCGAATTTCAAACTTTAACCGAGTTAACCAAGCTTTGACTCTTGACTATTTAAACTGAAGACCTTATCATCAGATTATGCTTTATTATCTTATCTTTCGCAAAAACCTTATCCCTAATCTTTCTCTCTCTTGTTCTTGAGCACTTCTTCAGTTTTTGGTATTTTGTAGCAACAATATGAGTTTTCAATATAAGTTTGCATTTTTTTTGGTAAAAAACAAAATGCAAACTTGTTGTTGATCTTATGTTTATTGCTTCTAATCATGATTTCCTGCATCATTTGCTTAGTTTTTGATATATTGAACATGGTATGTGAGTAGTAAATACTGGGTTTAAGGATGGGTTAGATTTAGGATGATCCAAGGCTTATAACTTGATGTTTAGGTGTAGATGATGTTAGATCCTCTACTATTAGGTGTTCTTAATGCTTGAATCTTACTGATCATCTGATTTTCGAAAATAGGCTTTCTCTACATCAAAAGTGTTTGTTGAAATGCATGAATCAACCTCTTAGTAGATTTGCTTATCCTTACACATGAGAATGGATGACTATAGAGCTTATTGGCTAGATGTGACTATTTCTTTATGCTGGATTATTTCCTGATCACTAATGAGAGTTAGATCTTGATTTGGTTGCATTCAAAAGATCACTGCCATGAGAATGAATTGATTTACATGTTTAGAGTTCTATGCTAAAGAATCATGCATTCATTAATTTTTTGAACATTGTTTATCATTCGATTATCTCTGTTTTGCTCTGTTTACACTGTTTCTTAGACTTAAAAGTTGTGTTTTGCCTGATTTACTTTACTACTTATGATTCATCTCTTTAATTCTTCGATGTTTGATAACCATTTAAAATGCTAGAATCGTAAACTCTTTTTTTTTTTGCTTAGATTATAGAACATCATGAATATTCTTTGACTATTTCACATTTGGATTTGACAAAGAACTGGCTATGAAGGGTTTTTAATTGCAAGAACATAAAAACATCTTATGAAGATTCTATTTCAAGTGTGTGAGAAGTTGTTCTTCATTCTCCAGAGTAGGGCCTCGCGCTGTCAAGCCCAAGTGAAGAGCTACCGAAGAGGAGAAGTGGCTTTGGGCCAGGTATTTGGTTGAAGCCCAAAGAAGTCCATTGACCGTTGACTGAGTGGATAATGTTGGCCGTTATAACAGCTCAACAACTCGTCTTCTTCCTTGATCGATCTTCTTCTTCTTTGTTGTACCTCTTGATCTTTTCTATGTAACAAACACAAGAGAGAGTTAGTGGATTCCAGGAATCATCCTGAAGAGAGACGTACCCAGGTTTTAGAGAACTCTATAAAACCTTGTGTCTCGTTCTTCTTACTTAGAAAAAACACACGAGTGACGAGTGAGAGAGAGAGAGAGCATTACCTGAGTCGGAGCTTGATCGGCGAAGTATCGGCTACAAGTGGTATCAGAGCGTGGTTATAGACGTTCGGAGATACTGAGACGATCAGATCGCAAGACTCGAAGCAACAAGAAGGCTCGGAGTCCACCGGTTCAAGGAGAAGGTGATCCCGAAGCTTCACGGATCCTCGGTGAAGCAGATCTACACACCTGGAGACAAAGGAGCAATCACCGATCAGCGAACTCAGGGAGTTTCATTGTTCTGTGATATACTCGTGTTTTACCTTTGTGAATCTTTTCGGAATCAACTTCAAGTCTCATAAGACAGTAAAATTGACCGTAGTAGAATCATCGATGTAACAATTCTCATAGTTTACAATAGATCAGCTTCAAGTCTTCAACCTAAGTCCTGCCCAAACAGATAGGACAAAGATGCAACGGTGAACACAATATTATCCAGTATCATTTAAAAAAAATATTCCTTATATAAAAAAGCCCATTTTGAAAAATAATATTATTTAATTTACTAGATTTTTATATGTGCGTTGTACACAGACTTATTTATTAATTTTATTAAAATTTTATATATTTATATTATATTAAATTAATATTATTGTGTGTTATATTTGTAAATTGACCGTTATAGAATCATCGATGTAACAATTCTTATAGTTTGCAATAGATTAATAAATCAGTGTTAAAAAATAAAATTAAGGTTTTAATTATACTTAACATTTTTTTTATTTAATAAAAATGCTGATGTGGACCAATCAGATCGAGTTTCTTCGTCCTACGTGGACGTCCTCAATCACTATGCCATCAACTTTTATACAGTATAGATTTCAATTTAAATGTGAGAGATACTATAGTTCGGTTTTTATAACATAATTTTTTTTTCTAGTTACTGAAGCTTTTTTTATTTTAATTTTTTTCATCTATAAAATAAATTAATGTTTAATATTTTCTTATCATTAGTTTAGGAGTAAGAAATTTTATTAATCTATATTAAGTTTTAACTTTTACCTTATCAGTTTTTTTGTTAGTTTAACTCTTTTGGCATTAAATTTCCATTTAGTTTTGAAAGATACTATATTTTGTTTTTTTTAAAATATTATTTTCTTTTCTATTTTTTACTTAAGCTTTTTATTTTAATTGTTTAACTATAAAACGAAATTAATGTTTAAAAAAAATAGAAATTAATGTTTTTATCATACTTAACATTTTTTTATTTAGTGAAAACATATGTGGACCAATTAAATTGAGTTTCTTAAGAAATTTTTCTAATCTATATTATAAGTTTTAGTTTTTACCTTATTGATTTTTTTGTTAGTTTAACTCTTTTGATATGAAATTTTCATTTAATTTTGAAAGATACTATATTTTGTTTTTTTAACATTATTTTCTTTTCTATTTGTTACTAAACTTTTTATTTTAATTTTTCATCTATAATACGAAATTAATGTTTTAAAAAATTAAAAATAATGTTTCAATGTTTTAATCATATTTAACATTTTTTGATTTAATTAATATGCTGATATGGACCAATCAAATCGAGTTTCTTCGTTATATGTGGACGTCCTCAATGCACTATGTCATCAACTTTTATATTGTACTAGGCTTTTAATTGGCGCTACGCGCGAGTCTGTATAAATAATTTGGTTTAATTTTCTGGCTAATATCTTTTAAATTATCAAAACTATAATATATTTATAAAAAAATTCTTTTATAAATTAAAACATAATATGTAG